TCGTTGAGGTGTCCTGCCCAGCTAGGAGGCAGACTAGCCACTGTTTGCCTGCCGAGGCTCCGCCCTGCTGTTGTGAGGCTCTCCCTGTTGTGGCAGGCTCAGCTTTTCTGCTGTGGTCTCCGCCACGCCCTGAGGCAGAGTCTCTCTGTTGTAGTGGGTTGCCTCGGCAATGGCAGGCTGCATCAGCAGTGGGTGTGTATCTCAGTAGGGACGGGTTGCCTCGGCAATGGCTGGCTGTGTCAGCAGTGGGCGTGTATCTCAGTTGGGGCAGGTTGCCTCAGTAATGATGGACGCCCCTCCCCCACAGAGCGTCTCAGACCGACTGCACGGGGATCGTTTGAAATCGCGGTTTTGTTCATCCCACTGGGCTAGCCCAACCACTCTGTCCCTGAAATCCCCTGGGCTGGCCCACTGTCCAAGTCTCGTTCAGTCTCAAGTCCAGCCCTCCCAAGTCTCAGGTTGCCGGTTCAACAGGGCACCCGGACAAGCGCACCCTGTGGGGAGCGATGGGTAGGGCCAGCCGCCGCCACCCCAGCTGCCGGCTTCACCAGGCAGCGGTACTGCCAGGCGTCTCATGTCTCCTTTATACTTGGGAATTTCCCCGTTCTGTGGGCAACAAAGATCAGTCTGGAAATGCAGCTCCGACTCACCTCTCCACAGATTCAAGGAGAGCTCCAATCCTGGGTTGTTCTCACAGTGCCATCTTGAGTCCTCTCTGGAAGACTTTTTAATTATTGATTCCATGTAATTATTCTATTTATCTATTCAGGTTTTCTACTTTTTTGATACTATATTTTTATTTTATTTCTTATGACTTATTTATTTATTTATTATACTTTAAGTCCTGGGGTACATGTGCAGATTGTGCAGGTTTGTTACATAAGTATACACCTGTCATGGTGGTTTGCTGCATCCATCCCCTGGTCATCTACATTAGATATTTCTCCCAATGTTATCCTTCCCTGCAATCCCCCAACCCCTGCTATGCCTTCATTAGACCCCTCCACCCCATGACAAGGACTTCCTGACTAAAACAACAAAAGCCAAAATAGACAAATGGGATCAATTAAACTTAAGAGCTTCTGCACAGCAAAAGAAATTATCATTAGAGTGAACCAGCAACCAACAGAAAGGAATAAATTTTTGTCATCTACCCATCTGATGAAAGGCTAATAACCAGAATCTATGAAGAACTTAAACAAATTTAGAAGAAAAAACAAACAACCCCATCAAAAAGTAGGTGAAGGATATGAACAGATACTTTTCAAAGGAAGACATTTATGCACCCAACAAACATATAAAAAAAAGTTTATCATCACTGGTCATTAGAGAAATGCAAATCAGGTTTTCTACTTCTTCCTGGTTCAATTTCTTTATAGGTTATATGTGGCCAGTAATTTGCCCATTTCCTCTAAGTTTTTCAATTTGTTGGTACATTGTTGTTTATAATAGTCTCCAATGATGCTCTGTAATTCTGTGGTATCAATTCTATTGTTTCTTTTTTTATTTTTATTTGTGTTTTTTTTCTAGCTGACAATTTGTTGATTTTGTTTATCTTTCCAAAGAACCAATATTTTGTTTCCTTTTTAAAATATTTTAAAATTTCAAGTTCATTAAATTTGCTCTGATCTTTATCATTTCTTTCCCTGTACTAACTTTGGATTTGATTTGTTCTGCTTTTTAATCCTTCAAGTTATACCATTACATTGTTTTTTTGAAATCTTTCTACTTTTTGGATAGAGGCACTTATTGCTATATAATTCCCGGGTAATAATGCTTCTGCTGTATCCCGTGGGTTTGGGTATTGTGTTTTCATTTTAATTGTTTCAAAAATTTTTCATTTTCTTCTTAATTCTTTCATTGACATTAATAATTCAAGGGCATGTTATTTAATTTCCATGTTTCTGCAGTTTTCAGTGTTCCTCTTCTTACTGATATCTCATTTTATTTCATTTTAGTTTTTTTGGTTATTTTTTTCTATTGCATTTTAGGTTTTGGGGTACATGTGAAGAACATGCAAGATAGTTGCATAGGTACACACGTGGCAGTGTGATTTGCTGCCTTTCTCCCCTTCACCTATACCTGGAATTTCTCCCCATGCTATCTCTCCCCAACTCCCCACCCCCTGCTGTCCCTCTCCTGTTCCCCGCAACAGACTTCAATGGGTAGTGCTCCCTTCCCTTTGTTTATGTGTTCTCATTGTTCAACACCCACCTGTGTGTGAGAACATCCAGTATTTCATTTTCTGTTCTTGTGTCAGTTTGCTGAGAATGATGGTCTGCAGGTTCATCCATGTCCCTACAAAGGACACGAACTCATCGTTTTTGATGGCTGCATAAAACTCCATGGTGTATATGTACCACATTTTCCCTGTCGAGTCTATCATCGATGGTTGGTTCCAGGTCTTTGCTATTGTAACCAGTGCTGCAATGAACATTCATGTGCATCTGTCCTTACGATTTATAGTCCTTTGTGTATATACCCAGTAATGGGGTTGCTGGGTCAAATGGAATTTCTATTTCTAGGTCCTTGAGGAATCACCACACTGTCTTCCACAATGGTTAAACTAATTTACACTCCCACCAGCAATGTAAAACTGTTCCTATTTCTCCACATCCTTTCCAGCATCTGTTGTCTCCAGATTTTTTAATGATCGCCATTCTAACTGGCGTGAGATGGTATCTCAATGTAGTTTTGATTTGCATATCTCTAATGACCAGTGATGATGAGCATTTTTTCATATGTTTGTTGGCCTCATGTATGTCTTCTTTTGTAAAGTGTCTATTCATATTCTTTGCCCACTTTTGAATGGGCTTGTTTGTTTTGTTCTTGTAAATCTGTTTTAGTTCTTTGTAAATTCTGCATGTCAGCCCTTTGTCAGATGGGTAAACTGCAAAAATTTTTTCCCATTCTGTTGGTTGCTGATTTACTCTAATGAGTTTTTCTTTCGCTGTGCAGAAGCTGTGGAGTTTGGTTAGTCCCATTTGTCTATTTTGTCTTTGTTGTCAATACTTTTGGTGTTTTGGTCATGAAGTCCTTGCCTACTCCTATGTCCTAATGGTTTTGCCTAGATTTTCTTCTACAGTTTTTATGGCGTTAGGACTTATGTTTAGGTGTTTAATCCATCTGGAGTTAATTTTAGTGTAAGGTGTCAGGAAGTGGTCAAGTTTCTGCTTTCTGCATATAGCTAGCCAGTTTTCTCAAAGATAACTGATATTATTTTGACTTTTAATATTTGTTTAGACTTATTTGTGGCCTAATATGTGATATTCCATGTGTCAAAGAGAAGAATATGTATTCTGTACTTGATCTTAGCCAAAAGGCCAAGAAGTGATGAGAATGTATATTCAGTAGTTGTTGGAGGAAATGTTCTGTAAATGTCTGTTAGGTTCATTTGATATCCAGTGTAATTTAAGTTTAATGTTTCTTTGCTGATTTTCTGTCTAGATGATATCCAGTGCTGACAATGAGATGTGGAGGTTTCCAACTATTTTTGTATTGGGGACTCTCTCTCTCCTTAGCACTAATAATAATTTCTGTTTATAACTGGGGTTCTCTAGGGTTAGCTTTGTATATATTTATAATTGTTATATCCTCTCTCTGGATTGATCTCTATATCATTATATAATAATCTTTTTGTCTTCTTTTTTTAATTGAAAGTTTATTTGTCTATTGTCAGTATAGCTATTTCTGTACTCTTAGTTCCCATTTGTGTGCATAATCTTTTTCGATTCATTTTCTCTCAGTCTATGTGTGTCTTTACAGGTAAAATGAATTTCTCATAGGCATAATACAGTTGCTGCTTGTTTTTGGTATCAATTCAGTCCATCTATATCTTTTAATTCAGGAATTTATACCACTTACATTCAAGATTGTTACTGATAAATAAGAACTTGTTCTTGTCATTTTGTCTTCTAATTGTTTTGTCTATGTTATTTCTTAGCTTTGTAATTTGGTTGCTTTTTATATTCACATTTGATTTCTTTCTTCTTTTCATTTGTGTGTCCCCTCTTCCAGTGTGTTTTTGATATGGTTTGGAAGTTTGTCCCTTCCTACCATGTTTCAGGTTTCTAGCAGGGACATGTGCTGCTAGAACTAGATTTCACTCACAAAACTTGAGTCCTAGTAGTTGATTTTAGTTCATCAATCCAAATCACTACTTCCTAACATAAATTCCTCCTTAATAACTATCAGGTATTTTTCCTATTATTAAACATGGTTAGTAGTTTCTAAATCCAACAAAAAACTCAAATTATGTAAAAACTCAAATGGAAAAGTACCCAATTTTACTTCTCGTATTTCTGCAAGTTTAATCATATCCTAAGCTATGAGGTCCACCTGCTAAGAGGACCTAAGAGGGCATGTTTTACTCAGTCCACAGGATATCTTACTATTTTCCATCACTGATGCTTACTTAGTTTATGATTAAATAACCTAAAAATTGCATTAAAATATTTCTGAATGAGTCAAAGAATTTCTGTACTATGATAATTTCCTGTGATTATGAAGATCACCATTTTTAAGTTGCTAGGTGAAAAAAATGTTATGTTTCATCTTACCAGGTATATCAATGTGATTCAATGTGAACTTTAAAGTCATGGTATTATCATGACTTTAATTCTGTAGGATGTTTTAATTTTGCATTAGAGATAACATTGTATGGGAAAAGCATTGTTAAAGTATTGTGAGGCATCAGTTTGTGCCACAACTCTGTTATTACCTGGATATATGGTCTTGGTCAAATCACTAAACATCTCTATGCCTCAATATGCTAAGGCTTATATGATTGCTTACAGATCTTCCACTCCTAAGTTTAGTGATTTGGCAATTCAGACATTTCACTGTAACTTTTATTCATTAATAACAAAGGCTAATTAATCTAATACACACACACACACACATACACACACACACACACACACACACACACACACACACCCCTCACATTCCTATGTAAGGATTACCTTGCAAAGTATTTTTAAATCTATTCATTTCTATAGAGACAGATATAGAAAGCTTGAAGGGTGCTTTGGGAAGACGCTTATTAAAGGATGAATTCAAGACACAGTCAAAGAGTTTTCCTGGTAAGAAAAATATTTTCAAGTCTAATATTTCTCATTTATTTTTCTCCTTTAAAGTTTAAGTGTGTATCTTTAATAGCAAGTGTACCCATTTGTTAATATGATATGGGCACAGGTTCTCATGAATACCCTCCCATATTTGGTTGTACTCTAGAACATATTTACTACAAATGTAAAGCTAGCTAGATATTACTTTTAGGACTCATCCACTTAGAAAGTAATAAAAAATAATATACTGTAGTGAGCTTAGAATATACTTGGGACAAGTATGTCCAAAGCTCTTTTAGTCCTTTCCTATTTACAGTTTAAATAGAAAGTTACTTTAAATTTGCAAAAGCAGAAAGGCTATCTGATGAGTGCAATAAGTAAAGGAAAAGGACAGTTATTTTATTATTATCAATTCCATCTATACTTTAAAATATCAGGCATAGTAATAATCTTTCCACTATGGCAGAATCCTTTAGTTGTGTAATATAGTTCAGACATTATACTACTGCCTTTAGTACAGGAGTAGCAGTGTTAGGCAAAACACCCTTTGATCTCTAGTGTGAAACAAAGGAAGGCAGGCAGGTTAACAGAGAAATAAGGAAAATACATACTCAAAGGGAGACTTTCTATCCAAAGGTGATTACTGCATGCCCAATGCTGTTTTATTGGAGGAATAACATTAGAGGCTTCACATTGCAGGATGTATTGAACCATTCTTGCATTGCTATAAAGGAATACCTGAGACTGGGTAATGTATAAAGAAAAGAAGCTGTACAGCGCAGGGAGGACCACGCCCCAGCGGCCTGCAGCCCGGGCCCAATGCGCGGAGCATCCCCCAGTGAGCAGCAGCGGAAGAGGAGGCTTGCTATGCCTATGCAGGGTGCGGAGGCAGGGGAAAGCACGGCAGAGGCGGGACTCGGGCCAGACCGGCCCATCCGCCTGGGGAGCCTCCGGCAGTGGCCTAGGAGGAAGTGGGTGGCCGGCAGCCGGAGAGTAGCGCCCGCGTTGGGGCCTGCAGGACAGCACTGGGACCACCTGGGCCACCCGGAGGAGTGCTTGCTGCCTGCCTCGCGTACCAAGCGAGAGTTTGAACTTGATTTCTGATGAAACCAAATTGGAATAATTTTCAATATCTTTGTGTTCATGTGTGTGTTGTATGTGAGTATGTGTGTGTGTGTGTGTGTGTGTGTGTAGAGTTTTTTTTTTTTAAACTTTTGCATTTGACTTAAAGTGCCATGAGAAAATTTGCATACTGAAAGATGGTCCTAGCCACCTCCTTGATTTGGGTACTCTTGGATATGTTCCTGCTGCTTTACTTCAGTAAATGCAACAAATGTGATGAAAAAAAGGAGAAAGGATTTCCTGCTGGGGATATTCTAGAGCCAGTACAAAAACCTCATGAAGGTCCTGGAGAAATGGGAAAACCAGTCATAATCCCTAAAGAGGATCAAGAAAAGTTGAAAGAGATCTTTAAAATCATTCAATTCAATTTAATCGCAAGTGAAATGATTGCACTCAACAGATCTTTATCAGATGTTAGGTTAGAAGAGTGTAAAACAAAGGTATATCCAGGTATTCTTCCTACAAGTGTGGTGATTGTTTTCTGCAATAAGGCTTGGAGCACACTTCTGCCAACTGTCTATAGTGTCATTAATTGCTCACCAAGAAACTGGATGGAAGAAATTGTTCTAGTAAATGATGGCAGTGAAAGAGACTTTTTGAAAAGGATTTTAGAGAGTTATGTGAAAAAACTAAGAGTACCAGTTCATATAATTCAAATGGAACAACGTTTTGGATGGATCAGAGCTAGATTAAAAGGAGCTGCTCTGTCTACAGACCAAGTGATCACCTTCCTGGATGCTCATTGTGAGTGTACAGTGGGGTGGCTGAAGCCTTTCTTGGCCAGGATCAAACATGACAGGAGAACAGTGGTGTGTCCTATCATCAATGTGATCAGCGATGATACTTTTGAGTACATAGCAGGCTCTGATATGACTTATGGTAGGTTCAAGTGGAAGCTCAATTTTTGCTGGTATCCTGTTCCCCAGAGAGAAATGGGCAGAAGGAAACGTGATCGGACACTTCGCATTAGAACACCTACCATGGCAGAAGGCCTTTTTTCAATAGACAGAGATTACTTTCAGGAAATGGGAACATATGATGCTGAAAAGGATATCTGGGGAGGAGAAAACCTAGAAATTTCCTTTCAGATTTGACAGTGTGGAGGAACTTTGGAAACTGTTACATGCTCACATGTTAGACATGTGTTTCAAAAAGCTACAACTTACACATTTCCAGGAGGCACAGGGCAGATTATCAATAAAAATAATAGACAATTTGCAGAAGTGTGGATGGATGAATTCAAGAATTTCTTCTATATAATTTCTCCAGATGTTACAACGGCAGATTATGGAGCTATATCATCAAGAGCTGGTCTAAGACACAAACTACAATGCAAACCTTTTTCTTGGTACTTAGAGAATATTTATCCTGATTCTCAAATTCCATGTCACTATTTCTCATTGGGAGAGATGAGAAGTGTGGAAATAAATCAGTGTCTAGATAACATAGCTAGAAAAGAGGGTGGTTTAACATATGCAAATCAATAAACAAGATGCATCAACAGAAAGGATGACAAAACCATACAATCATCTGAGTAGATGCAGAAGAAACATTTGATAAAATTTAACATTCCTTCATGATAAAACTCTCAACAACCTAGGCACAAATGGAACATCCCTCAAACTAATAAAGCCCATATATGACAAACCCACAGCTAACATCATACTGAATAAAGATAAGTCGTTGAGGTGTAGCTGGGCAAAGTGGCACACCTGTCATCCCAGGCAGGTGGATCACTAGGTCAAGAGATTGAGACCAGCCTGACCAACATGGTGAAACCCTGTCTCTACTAAAAATACAAAAATTAGCCAGGCATGGTGGTGGGCACCTGTCATCCCAGCTACTTGGGAGGCTGAAGCAGGAGAATCACTTGAACCTGGAAGGCAGAGGTTGCAGTGAGCTCAGATTGTGCCACTGCACTTCATCCTGGTGACAGAATGAGTCTCCATCTCAAAACAAAAAATTGTTGAGGTGATAGATATCCTAAATAATCTGACTTGATTGTTATGCACACTGTACATATAACCAAATATCATGTGTACCCCATAAATATGCACAAATGCTATTTATTAACGAAAAGGAAAATGACAAGATGTGGTAACTTGAAACCACAGGAAAAAATTAATAGAACCAGAAATTATAAATAAGAAGGTTAATATAACCATTGGAAATATATACTTCTTTCTTGCCTCAGTTTTTTAAAAAAGCATAAAATTATATACAGAAATGATTATAACCTGGCACAGTGGCTCATGCCTGTAATCCCAGCTCTTTTGGAGGCAGAAGTAAGCAGATCACAGGTTCAGGAGTTCAAGACCAGCCTGGCCAACATGGTGAAACTCCATCTCTACTAAAGATACAAAAAAATTAGCCAGGCATGGTGGTACACACCTGTAATCCCAGCTTCTTGGAAGACTGAGGCAGAAGAATAGCTTGAACCTGGGAGGCGGAGGTTACAGTGAGCCAAGATCGCACCAGTGCCCTCTAGCCTGGGTGACAGGGCCACAGGGCAATTACTCCGTCTCACAAAAAAAAAAAAAAAAAAAAAAAAGGAAAGAAAGAATTATAATAATAACTACAATCATGTCTTTATTATTTATAAATGCATTATGTATAACAATAGCACAAAAATGGGAACAGGAAATACAGCTATATAAGAGTAACTTTTCTATATTTCACTGAAATTTAATTAGTACAAATCTAAAGTACTTTTTAAAATTGTGATGATGGTGACAGACATTACTGAATGTATTAAAAACCATAGAATTTAAGATTTTAAATAGCCTATTAAGATATTCAGTGAACTTCAAGGAGAAAAAAGATTTTTAAAAGATTTAAAGCAAAGGGAGGATATTGTGAAGGACAAAAATTGTGACTCTTACTAAATTGTGTCTCCAGCACATACCTTTCAATTTCTAGTATTTAACCCAATCCCTCAAATTATCTCATTTTTTCCCCTGAATGTGTAAGGATCATTTGCTTGCTCATTTCAAATGAAGTGGTCCTTCTTAGATATATAAGCTGAGGAAGGAAAAAAGGAAGCTAAAATATATCTGCTGATGTTTCCAGTTTTGAGTTGCTATATCTCTTATATTGTTACTTAATTACTGAAAACTTGTTCTGCTCAATTTCATAAATAACTTTCTACTTTGGTAACAAGGCAATGCTCAGTATAGAATGCAGTTGTGGCATATTTGAGCAGCCGGTGTCATAACCATTTGCATTATTCATGTATTCATCAATTCTTCCAAAACAGGAATGACAACAAATCACTCTACAATACAGTGACAGGATTGACAGGTGTCCAATCATAATTATATACTCTGCTAGACCCAATTCTACCCATAGAATCTTAAGCCCAATGTTGACCTTATGTCACCAATCCTCATTATCCCCTTTTCAATACAAATTTCCTTTTAACATTTTAATGCATTTTTATATCATTGAACTTAGTAGTTTCTAATTCCACAAAAATATCAAATCACATAAAACTTAAATGGAAATGGATCCAATAACAATTCTAGTAGTGCTGCAAATCTGACCATTACCTCCTTGATTCACATTCAGGTGACCTCAGAGGCAGTTTTTCAGTTTGACAAATATCTTATTTTTTCATAACTAATGTCTAAAGAATTTATAGCTACATACACTAAAAAAAAGGAAAGGAATATTCCTCAATGAGTCAAATAATTTCTACCTCTGGATAAGTTATCTGTGACTAACAAGGCCATGGTTTGCAGCTTTACCTAGGGGAAAAAAAATGTTCCCATCTCACCTACTACGTATCTTCAGACTGAGTAGGTTTTTAGTATAAACTTGAAAGATACATTATCATCATAATGTCCCTTAGGATTATTTGAATTTGCCTAAGAGATGGCAGTGTATAAAACAAT